CCCCCCCCCCCACCAACAAGCGCCGCGCAGGCCATCCCCCGCGGCGGCCGGGGGGCTGCTGGGCTCCGCAGGGACTTGCCGCCGCCTCGGCCCCGTTCCAGGTGAGGAGACGCGGCGCTGCGCGGCGGCCCTCGCCGTTACCCCTGCGCGCCCGGCGGGGAGGAGGTGTCCCTGAGGGGCCCGCTCCGGCCGCCTCAGCGGGGCGCGGCCCTCGGGCTCTGCGCGGGCGGGCGAGCCCCCACCGCCGGCCCGGCCCCCCGCGGTTGCTGCGTGGGAGCCGCGTCGCGGTTCCTGTCCCCGGGGAAGAGGGAGTTTGCGGGTGGGGGGGGCGCGGCCCGCCCTGAGGCGGGGGCTCATTGCGTCGGGGGCCGCGCAGGCGGGACGGGGCGATGCTGCCGGAGGAGTTAGGGTCGGCACGGCGGGGCTGGCGGGCTCCAGCAGCAGCAGCAGTCACCCCCGGCCCGGCCTCTACGGAGATTTCAAATTTATAGGCACCGGATTTTATTTATTTATTTCTTTTTTGTCCCTCCCACTTGCTGCAAGGAGGCAAACGGGACAGATATTTACGTCCTCTGATGGGCGAAACGTTCCCTGTTTTAAAATAGCTGCGTCTTATATTTGCCGTGATTTAACCGTGGCGTGCGTGTAGCGGCTGCGTGTGTGGGCACGGCGGGATGGGGAGGGAGTCGGGCTGGCTGTCGTCTGGCGCTTTAAGTGCCGGAGCCATTAACAGCAGTTGCATCAATATATGAATACAGATATGCCTGGCTAGGCCGCAGATGCACTCGCTGTGGTGATAGTAGTAAACGTGTAAACAGCCCTGTGGAAGTTTTATATTATTATACATACTTTTAGCTTTTCAAAAAAAAAAAAAGGAGAGGGGAAAATACCTTGTTCCTAAGTCTACAGATGGGCTCCGGAGCTGCAGCTGCATCCTTGTACTTCTGTTGTCACTCTAGAGCCAAAGCAGCGAGAGGACAAAGATCAGTATGAGGTTTCTAACCTCCGGTGTGAGCCACAGCGGTTGGGAACAACTGGTAGTGTGAACAGGGATGGATTTGCAGGTATTAATAACGCTAATGTAATATTCTTGGGGGTGGGGCAGGAGATGGACACAAAGGAAAGACCCCTGACTATAGCACAGCCGTCTGAGAACCTTCTGCCGTATGTGTAATTAAGCTGGAAAGGACTATAGAAAATGAGTTATAAAATAGGTTGTAATGGCTTTCTTAGTTAGTCTGTACATGCAGAACCAGTTGAATTTCGGCTTCGACATTCAGAATTAGTAAGCTGTATTGACAGGAAGGTTGAGAGCCCTAAAATAGAACACACTCTATTTATTTTAAAATCGTGTTAGACTTAAAGTGAGAGATTAGTTTCCATGTTGTGGTTCTGGAAAAAACCAGTAAAATTTTTATGTATTCTGCGTAGTTAATGCCATGCGTCTGTTGAACATGTGCTGAGCTTGTAGGTATGTTAGTTCATTTTAGTGTTTCATCTGTGAAAACAAAAGGTTAGAGCTTATCTTGCTGCTCTTGGAAAAGAATTTTGGGGGTCCTAAGTATGTGAACTCATGGTAAAAAGATATCCAACATTTCTATTCTGTGTTAAATTGCACAGAATGCTTCATTGATGACGATTCCTTTGTTTTACAGTGCAAATTAATTTTAACAAAGTATTAGAACTTTGTTACTTGTTAAAATAGAAGTATGAGTATTAACATTTGTTTGGCTTGTCAAAAACTATATGTAGGAAAGTTTGACTGCAGTAATATTCACTGGTCAAAAGTTGTTTTGAAAATAGTGCACCAAGATATCATAGCTTAAAAAATGTGAAAATGGAATCAATTATCTCTGATAAATATTTTGTTCTTCTCTGATACATTTCTGATGTACCATTATGCTCTTGAAGTTCAGCATCTTTTTAAACTTCCTGTTTTGGAAATGATGGGGTTAGAACGAGAAGAGCAAATTGAGCAACTGGAATATTGTGATGTTGGTTAGGTGTAAGGTAGACACTGTGCTGCTGCTGCATGCTGCAGGCTGTGTTATAATTCCAGAGAGATTTTTCCAATGTGACTGATTAAATCGAGAAGGATTTTTGACTGTGACAAAAGAGAGAGATGAGTGGCGTTTTCCCTGCTCGAAACTGATTTCTAAACGATCAGCTTCTACCAGTTCTAGATACCTGTGTGCAGAAGGTTAAACATTTTCTTAGCACGTGAAGTGGCACTATGTGGTATATTAATATACTGCTGTGTTTTCTGTGCTAGAAGACTTGTTTATCTGGTGGGAATGAATTGATACTCTACAAGGGGAGATTGACAGTTTCTGTGTATTCCTGTGTGTTGTGTTGTCTCTCTCTCCTGCTCTGGGGAAGCACTACACAAAGCCTTTGTGTTTGGCTGGAGGGGAGGAGGAACAGCTGCCTTCTCAGTACAAGACACCAGGATTCGTAGTGGTCTCACAGGGATGCTGTTGTACGTGGACCAGCCACCGTCCTTCCTCCCTCATTCAGACTGTTGAAGCACTGTCTCCTCAGGGCAGAGAAACCCGAGCTTCCTTTGATTGGCCTCACAGGGCAGAGTCTTGCACCCTGGATCGAGCAGATCAGCCTGATGGGCCAATTTTTAAAGTATATTATTAAAACATGCAAAATTGACTAAATGCAAGGTGTACGTTAAGGAATCCGAGAGCTACAGATTGTATTGTTTTTAAAAATTACTTAGTATCAAATCAATTTCTTGTCCATGATTAGAATGAAAAACACTTGTTTAAATGGTTAATCTTTTATTTGTTTTTCTTTTGTTTAACGGTTTACGTGAACTGTTCAATTTATGTAAATAGGAATTAAACATGTTAACTTTAAGAGGAAATAAAAATTATTTCAGTTGGATGAGAGACTAGAGCTAAATGGAGCAGTTTCATTTTTCTGCTTTTCATGCACTAATAAGTGCACTTTTATGGTCGTACTGTATTCTGTGTCACATGGTGGTAGAATAAAAGTTAACTTCCCTCTCTGCTGGAAACATTGGATACTATATAGCATGGCTTTTAGTAACTATATCTTGTGTGGTCTTTCAAAATTACTTCCTTGAAAATATAATCTGATCTTTTACAACTTCATTATATTTATTAAAATTTTAGAGTTGGATTCTTTTTTTAATTTCACCTTCTGTGCTAGATGTCAAGTAGTGTGCTTTTGAGGGAATCTGATAACTCAGATATTTTTTTTCAGGACGCTTATGAAATCGAGCTGCCGTTCTTGGCAGTTTAAATTTATAGTCTATTTTTTTTCTTTATTGGCTTATAGGTCACCAATTTTGAAACCTAAGTAGCGGAAAATTCAAACAATAAAACCTGACCTTTTGACGCTTCACCTTTTGATCTGGTTGAGTATCTTTTTCCCATTTTTGAGACGTTGTGCAAGTCATAACTTATCCTTCAAATTTCTATTTCAATTAATGGAGACAAATCTTTGAAAACCGTGAGGACTTTTTGGGGAGAAGGGAAAGATTGAATTTGAGAGGAGGGAGGAAACTGGGAAACTGAAGTAGTCTTTAGCATTTTTAACAAAACTGTATCTTGTTAAGAATTTAAAAATACGTTCATTGTTATATTCGGGCATGTTTTTCTGTGGTTCTTCTACTGTATGTCTGAGAACAGTTCTGTGATGAAAAGGATTGCTCAAATGCTATTTCATGCCTTTGCTTTGTCTCTGAAGAGATTAATCAATTACTGAGAATTAGGTTATTTGCACTGATGAGAAACTCTATCCGGTAATTCTTCTTTTGGAGAAATGTGTGTATGTTGCTTAGGCTTGTGTTTGAGTGCAGGAGAAGCTTCTGAGTAGATGGAGGACTTGGAGGCTGGCTGTTT